TCCACAATGTTACCCAGCCATCAGAGATGCTCCTGTCATAATTTAAATTTGATAGCAACATTAGATGCTGAAGGAGTTTTAAATGATGAAGATTTTAAAAGGGTGTCAAGATCGACATTTTATAAATGTCAAACTTTATGGAATAAGCAGAACAAATCTCCTAAAAGTTCTGACATGTTTAAAAAAAAATTAGGGAGGTATTTATTAACCCCTAATCGTACAAGATGGAATTCTCTATACCAAGCAATAAAACTAATCGCTTTTTTTCTGGAGGAAAGAAGATTAGAGATTAATTATCTCTGTGATCTTGTTGAAATTGAATATATTAACGATGAAGAGCATACTTTTATAAAAGAGTATACAGAAGTAATTCTAATTAATAATGATTCATTTCCATATCATTTTAATTTTTTAGGTTATGCAATAAGTTGCTGTTTCCCTTGAAATTTTGTAGGTGAGGATAATATGGAGATGGGGTATTATGTTCCCACTTTAAGTATCCTAAATACCAAATTAAAGAGATTGAATAATCTAATCTTATGCCAGCCCCTAGTAGACTCTCTGTTAAAAGGCATTGAGAGAAGGTAAATAAAATTTATATTGTTTTGATTTTGACTGAAGATTTATTCTAACTTAATGTTTAAAGCTAAAAAATTTATAAAATTTTATGATTAAGATATATTTAAAATACTCTATTTTTGTAACTTCCCAAACTTATACAATGATGACAATGTCTTAGCGGCAATGATTCATCCAAAGTTTAAACTAAACTGGCCATATATAAATTCCGATGATGCCAAACATCAACGCGATAGGCTAATGGCGAAGCTGAATAATCTTACTCCAACAAACATAGATTGCCGAGTATCTACCACGAAGACATCCTCAAATAATTTTTTGGAAATTAAAGATGATTTAATAGAAAATCCAATTGATCTTTTTTTCAATCAAAAAATAGTGAAATGAATATTTTTGATAATTTTTCATATATTAAAAATTTAAATATAAAATTAAATACCCCCTTGCCCTCAAGTGCTAGTGTCGAGAGATTATTTAGTAAAGCAAAGCTTATACTTTCTGATCGTCGCTCTAGACGGGGATGATAATATTGAAATGATATTATTATTAAAATGCAACAAATTAAAATAAATATTTATTTATATTGCTTTTTTTTTTAATCTAAACTAACTATATTTTTATATTTATAAATGTTGATTTTTATATATTATTTATTATACATTTACATTATAAGCAAAAAAAAATTGTTTCTAAATTTTTTTTATAAAAAGTAGCTAATAGCGCGCTACTTTTTTGAAAAATAGCGAAAGGGGTAGCGCGCTACTTTTTTTGACAAATAGCTATAGCGGTAGCGCGCTACTTTTAAAAATAGCGTTTAACAACTCTGATAAAATCAATAAAAGAAATGTATAGTTATTTAAATTCACTTAACCAGAGCAAATCTGAATTCTCACATTTAAATTCTAATGCTCCCAACACTCACGATTTCAAATTCACATCAAGCGTTGAATTAACACATCTAGGATCGCCTGTAGGAGGACACGAGGCAATAAGCACCTTTCTTCATTCCACACTTGACATACTCCTTAAACTGGAGGACATCTTTACACTACTTCCATCACACAAGTCCCTTTTTTTGCTAAAAAATTTCTTTTTCATACCAAGGATTCTTTATGCACTTCGGTCAACACCAATTTTTAAATATCCTATTCCTCTCCAAACTTACGAAAAAGGAATAAAGGACTTAACCGAAAAAATAGTAAATATCAGATTCAACGAAACCGCTTGGGCCCAAGCAACTCTTCCAACCAAATTTGGTGGTCTCGGCATCAGATCTCCACATGACTTAGCAATAACTATTTTCATATCGAGTAGTCTCTTGACAAAGCCAATAACCACCGCTCATAATTCTAAAGAAGACCTTTCCTTAATCGTGGCTATGGATATTTGGAAAACAAGGATCAATGCTGATTCTCATCCCCCCACAACCCATAGACAGAAAGATTGGGATGCACCAGTGGTTGCTCGCTGCGTTGAAACTCTCTTATCTAGCATGCAATCTACCGACCGCACCCTATTCTCTTCCCTGCTCAATGGTACGGGACATTAGTTTCTTGAGGCCATCCCATCTACCAATCTTCAGCTTCAACTATCCAACAATGAATTTACCCACGCCATCGGCATTCGTCTAAATTGTTCCATCACTCACCCTCACATCTGCTCAGGGTGCAACTCGCCAGTTGACTCGAAGGGTAGACATAGTTTACATTGTCGCTCCTGCAATAGACGATTCATCAGACACAAGCAATGTAATACAATCATCCAACATGCACTGAAATCCGCCCAAATTCCTTCCACTCTAGAACTACAGGGTCTTTTTAGATCTGACAATAAACGTCCTGACCTCAAATCCCATGGAGGAGAGGCCAACTTTTGGTATGAGACTATTCCTGTATTGACCCCTTGGCCCCATCCAACCACGCCATCAACATCCTTGACCAGAAGGAACAACTTAAAACTTCTAAATACACAGAAATAATAAACGATCATTGCTTCATCCCAATCATATCAACCACTCTTGGCACCTTCGGCAAACTCGCCTTAGCATTTTTCAAAAACTTAGGATCACAAATCAGCAAACTCTCAGAAGAACCTCGAGAGGGTTTTTTTCTTCGTCAACGATTATCCATAGCGAATCTCAAAGCTAATTATATCAGTTTCAATGGTAGTCTTCTAGCCAAAGAGCTATCCTAGACAACACTTAGTCCCTTTTTCATTTTTGTTTCCCTGCGTCACACCATCTCCGTTCTTTTTTTTATAGTATTATTATATATTTTTCAAACATTTTTAAATATATTAAAACATAAAATATTATATTTTCGTTTTTTTTAATATTTTATATTATTTATTATTTGAAAATTGAAAATAAAGGATTTTGAATATTAAACTTTATTAAAATTAAAAAATAAAATATTATAATTATACTTGATAACCTTTCTAAAAATTTAATTTCTGTTGTGTCAATGAATATGATTAGTTAGTAGAACTATTAACAAATACTACAATTTTTTTAAATATTTTAAAATAAAATTAAAATTTTATATTTGTTTTTAAATATTTTAAAAAAATATAAAAATATTTTGAAAAAATTTAAAAACGACTAAGAGTGATTATTTTAATTTACTCAAAAAACGTGAGAAAAGCGTGAAGTGTGAGAAAACGTGGGTAAGTAAAAAATTAGGTATGAAATCGTGAGAATCACGGCTAAATCGTGACATCTGGCAACCCTGGGCTCAACCCGACCAGGCTGAATTTTTTTTAAAAGATATTAGGCCCGACCTAGCCTGAAGCTAATTTTTTTTAAAAAAATGTCCAGTCTCTAATGTATTATTCCAACATTCTCGTTGAAAACAGGTATAATTATGAAAATTATATTTTTTCCTTCTTTTAAAAAAATTTCGGAAGAAAAGGAAAACACATTGGTTTTTAATTATGATGTTCAAAACTCTTATTCTAATATCAAAAAAATATTCGTAATCGTAAATAACATCAGCATCGCTTTTCTTATAATTATATAAATAACCACATTAAAACTGAAACAGAATATAAAAATTAAATCAAAAACATAATATAATACTTAATATTATATAATCATTTATTTTTAATTCTCAAAGATATTACATAATTAGAGGAAAATAGAAGTGAACAAGTCAAAGTAAAAATTATTATATTGAATATTTTTTAAAAACAAATTTTATTATTTTACAGTGAATGAAGTGAAACGAAACGCAACAAACGAGTATTATTATTATTAAATATAAAATAAAAGGGGGTAAACAAAATATTACATATTGAAATTTAAAAAAAATAAAGATTCATGTTTAAATAATAAAAAGATATTTATTTTGTAAATTTACAATTTGTGATGAAAATATCAAAGTACATCTCACATGCGTTTTTTTAATATTAATATATTTTATAAAAATATTAAAATTTAGGAGAAAATGGTAAACCTCATAAGATATTCTTAATTTCTGATTCATCTATCAGCATTGCTGAGATCGTTAAAAATGAAGGGGAATGAGAATTTTCTCCTTACTTTTATAATAGTTGTTACTGGATATTTGAAAATAATAACCAAAATACCATTTAATTTCTATATCAATATTTTGTGTTATTCCTGACTAACTAAGACATCCCTACTACTTAGAGTATAATTATTACAATCGATATTTATACTAGCTTTTATTTGATATCCACATCGATATTTTGTGTTGATAAAAATATTCCTGACCCCCCCCCCCCCAAGACCTAGACCCGCCCTCTATGAGTGATTATTATTATTACTATAAAAAAATATTTTAATTACCTTTTATTTGATATCCATATCAAAAAAAATATTTTTTTTACACCCCCCCCCCTAGACCAAGTCACACCCATCAAGATAAAAAATGAATACTTTCAATCTAAAGATATTTAAATTAAATTTTATTTGATACCCATATCGATATTTTGTGCTGATAAAAATATTCCTGACCCCCCAAGACCTAGATTTGCCCTCTATGAGTGATTATTATTATTACATTAAAAAATATTTTAATTACCTTTTATTTGATACCCATATCAAAAAAAATTATTTTATACCCCCCCCCCCCCGGGTATCCGGAGTTCAGACCCGAATCTGTGCTCGGGGTTCGTGCTCAGAGCTGGTTTGGTCGATTTTTTAGACCCAAACCACGGGTCTGGGTTTTACACAACCAACCAATTAACAACACTATACACAGGGTCTGAGCTAAAAAAAACTCTTACGCCGTTAGCGGGAGAGCTAAAACCTACAGGTTGGTCTCTAAGATAATGTGCAATTATATTGCTTTCATTAAATGGCATTCACCCATTTTACCACTTCGTAAAATCTCATAAAGGTTGCCAATTTAGCACATTGAAATAACATAAAATGTTAATTAAAATGAGTTTTTAATAACTTTTTCCTCCACCGATTCCAACATAACGAGGGCTTTATTGTTAACAATTCTGGATAATTGTTGTTTTTTATCCTTCAAGCTAACCAATTTGACTTCCATCTCCTTAATATTCATAGAATTGAAATCGTAGATGGTGTTTGGTTTGGCAAAAAATATGGATTCTTGTTTAATCCATTTGTTTTCGTTCATCAACTTGTTGACCTGTGATAAAAGTTAAATAATAATTAAAAATTCACATAATTTTAGATAATTATTGTTTTAATTATATTTTTAAGAAAGAGACAAAATTAATTTATTCGCTTTCTTTACACGTTGGACCAGTTCCATATATGGCCTATTTGGAATATGTGCCGTCCTAAAAATAAAAGAACAGATTTGACTAAGCCTTACTCGGCGCAAAGTTTGGTTAGAGCCATAAAAACTATAGAACAGAACTTAACAAATATTTTAAAAAATAACATGTAAAAGATGTTATCGCTTCTTTTATCAAAAGTTGTCGATTCGAGCCGGAAAGCTGAAATAATATAATTTTCATAACCGTAACCAAATCGTTATAAAAAATTGAAAGGAAAAAACTAAACCGATAAATATTTTAGAACTGTTTTAAATCGGTAATAACAGTTTTGAAATTATATTTATATATTCTATAAGACTGGCATTAAATAAAATATTTTTAGTGCACAATTATATGTGGCTATATTATATCTATGTTTTAAAATAAAATAATTTAACTTATTTTCTTAATCATTTATTTGGTTTTAATTTTTAAAATATTTTTATTACCGAAACGAACCATGATATAAATCATTTAAAAAATAACAGGAATGGAACTAAACCGTTTTAAAAATTTAAAAGCGAGATGAAACTGAACCGTTATAACTACTGGTTCAATATCCTGACAAGGGCGATACAATTAATAATTTTTATTTCATTTAACTTCATAATAATGTTATGAGTGGGCGCAGAGAGAATAATTTCCTGTAAACTTTGGGAATTCTCCTGAAAAATATTAGCTTTATTTAGTTATGGTCCTTTTCCCAGATTTTAGGTAGAAAAATATTTTTGTTGCCGTTTAAGATAGGATTATCATTTTTTAGAATAATGAGCTTCCTCAAATTAAAAAAACTAGCAACGTCGGCGGTTAAATAAATATTTTTGGATTAAATCTGACCAAGCTAGCCTCAAATAAAAATTAAGGCCAAGCTTAGAAATCCGAATTTCGGGCCTGGCCTAGGTCAAAAAATTAAATTAGCAATGTTCTATTTTGACCTTCTATTGCTCTATGATCTATACCATCAATCTTTATTTTTATCTCAAAATCGAATATGGGTAAACTTATGCCCTGGGCGATTTTCAAGGTATCAGGAAAAATAGATAACCATCTTGTCTGAAGATATCTTAAGTCATTTGCTCTAACAAGCCCAACTTGTACGAAATACCCACCTCCTCTGAAGTGTCTTTTTTCTAAAAATTATTCTGATTATCAAAAGGAAGTCCAATACTACCAATTTAAAACTTAGAGACTAAAAATACAGAATATTACGTTGAAAGGAGTAATAACCTTGATTGAATTACTTTCTGAAAAAGTAAATCCCAGATGACTTGAAAACAAATAAAGTTTAAAATATACTTTTATACAATGAATGAGTGTACTCAATATTCTTAACTATTACTATCTAATCCTATATCCCTACAAACCAAATCATTGAATAAAGTGGAGGAATACATAGTAATCCAAATATCGAAAATGATGATGATTGCCAGCTAATAGATAATATTTTCATGTAACAGATCGAGCAGACAAGATTTAATATTATTAATAATTTTAGAATATTAAACAATATTTTATAAAAAAATGGTACTATTTTATCTAGGCCAACAGTAGAACCTCTATTCAGTATTGCAATACTGGTAGGAAGGAGGGGAATGATGTTTTTATTAAATATTAGCGATTAATAAAAAAAATTATATCGGAAATGGATTATCTTATGTATCGGTATCGAACACATTTGGGGAAAACGTGTTTCTACAAAGGACCTTTTTAAAATTTTTATTATAACTTTTTTGAAAGTATGTTGATTAGTATTTAATGATTTCGAGAGATCTGCTGTAAGTAGAGATATAAAGGTAGAGAAATTTCCTGGGAAATAACGAAAAATTTCCCGAATTTTCCATTAATATAAATATTATATTTTATTCAAAAATTATGATTTATATTTTATAAAATATAATATTTTATCAAAAATTATGATTTATAATTTCATTTATTATATCATAAATTTTAAAATAATTTTCTCGTGATTCTCTTTAGACTTATTTTATTAGTGCAACCATAAAGTACAAAGACAAAGGTAAAATGTAAATATTCTCATACATAATATTGATATGATATATTATAGAATTATTAATAATTAATGATATATTTAGATTTGATATATAAGTATCATTATATTTTAATTATACTATATAATTAAATTAATAAGATTGCAATATTTTATATGACTCGGAAAACTTCCAACATCTGGAAACATTTTATTAAAAATACAGCTAATAACAAGAAAGTGTCTATATAAATATGCAAAAGCCAAACAAATAATTAAATATTTAAAATTTAATAGTATTTTATTGGTAATCTTTAAAGAAAGGCAAATAGTGAAAGGATACAAATCTTCCTTAAAATTCCAAGACCGACAAGATGGGAAGGTTTTGTTATAAAGTTACAAAGTGTTGTAAAAAATAAGGAGGCTTTGCAAAAAATTGCAATTTCAAGTTTATTTAGAGACAAACAAAGAAGGCGTATTATATTAAACAAAGAAGGCTACTATAAATTAGAGTCAGTACTGACTTTTTTGGAATTTATTTATAATAAAATTATAATTGTAGAATCGGATACAATGGTATTATCTGACGCACCAGAAATATTTTGGGATATAAAAGATAAACTCAATTCATCAACTTTTATTTTTAACGAAAATGATTTGAAAAATGTTAATGGTGTGAAATTAATAGACCGCGAATTAACTGTAGCTTTAAATTTAATAAATATTATTTCAGGCCAAATTAATTCCGAATTATGGGTAATTTAGCAGAATATCGTTCAAAATAAGATTTCTATAAAGGAGCTGGAATATGGGAGAGCTCGATCCATACCAAATCACTCATATGGTAGAAAGGGTTGTGTACAAATCAACCTCTTTGTCAAGTGGCGCTAAGATGCCTTTCGATAACACCCTCAAGTGCCGAGTGATAGAGACTAATTAGCATTTGGAAAAATTCATTCAAGAACGAGAAATAGCATAAAGAATGAAAGAGTCTAAAAATTAATATCAATCATAACATATATTTAAAGGATCACACAAATACATAATGTTCGGGATATTATCAAGTTATAATGATGATATTTCAATTGCATCCTATGAAGATGTTTATGATATTTTATTAGAATCCCATGAATTTTAAATAAAATTTATATGCTTTTTGTAATTAATAAAGTTACAATAAAAAAATGAAATGTTTACAATGTATTTTGTGATTATTTTTTTTCCCATTTTTCACCAATTTTCCTGGGGGAAATTTACATCTCCTGGAAGCCAATTTTTTAAACTCAAACCGTAAGATGAGGCATCCCGACTCTGCATAACCTGGAAAAATAAATATTCCCAACCCAGCTCAATCCGAATAAAAAATGAATTCCTTTATGGATTCCACCAGAAAATCAAATAAGAAATCTTAAACCAAAAAAATGATTTTTTTTCAGTATGTCATAAGAAATAATCTAAAATTATAAAATAGATATAAATAATCTAAAAGCATTTTTAATATTAAATCTCATTTGCAATACATTTCGGTTAGTCTTACCCTTTTAAAAAACTGATTATTATATATTTTATTTAGTACACAATAATAAGATAATATTCAAACATTTTATTGGGTAATTAATAAATTGAACGTAAGATGCAATTATCTTTTAGAAACATGCAATCTTTGACAATCATATTTGTGCATATAAAAATAACTCACAAAATGTAGAACAGCCCTATTCCTCACCTGATCGCATAATTCTACCATTTATAAATATTTATTTTTAGTTTAGGAAATTTCCAAAAAGTCACTCTCATAATCCAAAAGATAATATTGCAAATTCCATTAAAAAAAATAACTCGATTACAGTGGCTTATAATTAAAAAATAATAATAATTACAAATATTTGTATATTTCTAAAATCACATATAATTCAAATATTTACTAAAATTTATGATTTTTTAAAAATTTAAATTTTAGATAGACATATGCTCATATAATACTAACATATAGTAGTCCTAAAAAATAATTCAATTATAAACCATATAACATAATTTTTTGTATATGTTTTCATAAGCCTGCTAAGGTCAAAACATAACGTTTTTTCAAAGCGGGTTTTGAGACATGCTTCTGGTAATTTATTTTTATTTCCAAATAGAGGATAGTAATTTGTTGAATTAATTTTTTTTTCGTTTGTTTTTTATTAACGATTAAATGACCCATGAAATCCGAATCCGGAAACTCTTTTAAAAAAAAAATTATATTATATAAAATAAATAATTCGACAAATTCTTATCCTTTGTTTGAAAATAAATAAAAAATTATCTGAACCTGGAACATGCCTCTAAAACGGCTTTGAAAAAAGGTTGACTATAAATGGCCTAACTCTACGAATTATTATCTTTATTAGTAAGAATTGTAATATTATCTTTAATTTTTCAAGTTAAATAAGAAATATATAATTATGAATATGATGTAAACATATAATTTACCCATTCCAAACATTAAAAAAAATTATCACAATTTTTTGACCCGACCCATGCGATGGTTGAATGACTTTTCTGGTGGGTTGTGTTTTGGAGATCTCTCATTTGCATAATTTACAATGGAGTTTTCAGTAAATAATAAAGTTTTTAAAAAAAAAAATAATTTACCTGAGATTATAATAAATAATAACAAAAACAAACCATTTCTTGATTTGTTTTAAGGTTGTGGTTGATTGTTTGTAGATCTTGATTAAGTTTTTGAAGGCTTAAAGATTTTTCATTCTTATCCTTAATAAGAGCCCTTTTTTCATTTTGTTTATCATTGATATCCTTGTTGTTGGTTTGTATAGTAAGTTTTTCTTGAACCAATTGTTGCTTTATAACTTCCTCTTCGTCCTAAGGTTTCAAAAAAATTTCCTTTATATAGCCTATATATATATATCGTAACTTTTTAATTTTGAAAGACCTGATTATGCTGATCGTATTCCAACATGTATAGTGGTGACAAATCAATTAAGCGCACGATAATTCAGTGCTGAAAACTCGGCGTAATGACAATTCGACGCCCGTCTAATTAAACTGCGATTTATTTAAAAATTATCATTTTTTTATCAAATTAAAGGCAGCGTTGATGATTGAATGATCAACCTATTATAAAATCAGGGCTTAAATGTCTGACAAAAATAAAATCGGGCATATACCGGACATAAATACTCCAAGTTAATAAAAATTTTAAATGTTTATTAGCAGTTATTAAAGTATCTAGATATAAAAATGTCTTATCTGTATCAAGGTATACTTTAATAAAAAGTAAATTGTATCTAAATACTATTTTTGAGGTCTCTGTATCTGTTTTATGATACATTTATACTTATTAAACCCTTTTTTATCTTAAAATATAAAAATTTGAATACAATATTCATTTTATCTCATGAGCATATAATTTAAATAAATATCAGAGACCAGCAGGCCCGGCCCTGATTTTATATTTTTTAAATATACCCGGGCCGAAACCCTTTTTTATCTTAAAATATAAAAATTTGAATACAATATTCATTTTATCTCATGAGCATATAATTTAAATATATATCAGAGACCAGCAGGCCCGGCCCTGATTTTAAATTTTTCAAATATACCCGGGCCGGGCCTGAAATTTTTTTTTTAAATACCCGGGCCTGGCCATAAAATTTTTTTAAAAAATTTTAAAATACCAATAGGTAAATTTTTTGTATATACTAGGTCGAATATAATTTTTAAAAATTCCGAGCCGGGCCTAAAAAAAATTTTTTTTTAATCCGGGCTGGGCAGTGCAAATGATACCTCTGCAGGTCTCTAATAAATATATTAAAGAATATTAAGACTAATATAATAAAAAATATATAAAATATTAAAACTTATATATGAAAAAATAAATATTCATTAAATATTATTTTTTTTCCCCATATAAATTTATAGATATCCATTCAAGATTGTGAAGGATATTTTTATTATGTAAAGATATATATAAATCCTTGATTAGCCATAATGCCATTAATTAAAAACAATACTATTGATGCACAAAATTATTTTAGCAAATAAATTTATTTAAAATTTTTTTAATTTTATAGATATTCCGCTAACTTTTAATGAATAAATTATAAATTTAATGTAAAAAATATTTTTTAAAATAAATGCTCGTTTTAAATGAGAATTTGTCGAAAAAAAGATAAAAAGGAATTTTTTATATGGCGTTTAAATTGAATGAGAACAAAATATAAAAATAGTTTACGTATTTTGTGCTGACATAATAAAAGTTTCTGTTCGAGAACAACGAACCCTGTATAAGTATGTTAAAAATTGTATCTATATCTTACGGTTTTAGAAAATGTATCTGTATCTAGATCATTTCAAAAGTATCGTTCTGCTTATAAGAAAGGGAATTTTTTAAAAAAGAATATTAATTTATTCTACAGTTAGTATGTGTTAGATTTTACCGGTATTTTTCCTCATCTAATACAAATACTAACCCGTCTCTTTAATGCATACCTCCAGGGAAACCGCTAACGCGGTCCACGAGCTTAGCATTATTCTTAGCTAAACAGCGTAGTTCGGTAAAAACATGTTATGAATTCATCTGGTCCTAAAAGGAAATTAAAATGTAGTGGTTAATTATTAATTAATAAAGTTTAAGATAAAAGAATTAAGCATATATAATAAGCCTATTAAAATTAAGCTAATAACTAATCATAATAGAAAGAAAATAATTATCATATTTGTTATATTTTAATATCTTATATATTTTAAAGGTTACGTTATTTGAATATTATATTATTATAACTTTCTTCCATTTAATATAATATTATGGAGGTCAATATAATTGCATAATATTAGAAGTTAAATTACATAATTATAAAACACTATATATAGAACAGAATTTAAAATAAAGATACCGATTGTTTTTGACTATAAAAAATGGCGACGAGGATAGAATTATAATTTTTTATCTGTTTATAAAAAAAATAATAATAAATCTGTTTAGAAATTATGGATAAAATAATATTACAGGAACTTAAAAAAGATGAATGTTCCATTGACGATTATATTGACTATATAAAATACATACTGAATGTTAAAAATATTCCGCAAACTGACGCCACTTTGAAAAAATTATTTATAGCTTATGGAGGAATAAATATTATAACTGATATAAAAAAATTACTCTTTCCAAGAAAAATTGCTGATGTAGTATGGGCAGATATATACAAAATTGCAAAACAACTTTATAAATATGGAAGAACTGTTCTGGCATCTAAAATTGATTTCATTAGATTAAGTCGCGGCCTGCAGAATCCTTTTTGAGTTATTTAAAAACTATAAAGGAGCTAGCCCGAAGTTAATGTAGAACTAAGAATTTGAGATCATTAATCGCAGGACTAGATAAAGAACTACGTTTACGATACCCAGATATTAAAGACGAAGACCAACAGTTAAGCTTAAACAAATGAAAAATAAATAATACTACTAAAATGGTTTATAAAATCAAAGAGACGAACAAATATAATTAAAATAAACGATTAAATTTAAATGATAATGATAATCGACACTATCAAAATGACAATAAAACATACGTAAAAAGAGAACCAATGCAAGGTTATAATAACTACCACATAAATAATAATACAAGAAAACCGTGTTATTTTTGTAATTTTTCATGCTATTCGGAATTGTCCAACATATGGAAAAACATGCAACTAATGTAAGAAACCAAACCAATTTGCCGTGTGTTGTAAAACTAGAGGAATTTACGGTACAAATTACAATAATAACGACGACGATTCAGATTTCTCAATAAGAAAAGTCTACAAATATGGAGAGCACCCAACAATTACGGTATTAATAAACACGAAATTAAAATGGAATGATACAGGTTTAGCAGTGACCATCATTAATGCAATTTATGTAATAAATTGGGAGGCGAAAACTTAGAATGGCTAGAGCTCCAGCTACATATAGAAACAATACAATAAAAATTATAGGAAAGTGCAATTAGATGATAAAATAAAATGGCTCCTGTTATTAGTTACAAAAACAAATGATGCAGCACTATTTGGATTTCCATGGACTATAGAATTTGATTTATAGTTACCAACATATTTAAAAATCAATATGATCAACAATAAATATAATAATAATGAATGGTAACGTGAATATTGACAAACTATATAAAGAATTGGCTACGGTGTTTGATAATAAATTAGGATTAATAAAAAATGTCGAACCAGTAAAACTACAATTGGAAGAAAATACAAAACCAATTGCACTGCCAGCTAGAAGAGTACCGTTGCCTTTAAAAGTAGAAATTGAAAATGAACTGAAACGTTTGGAAGAAAATAATATAATCAAGAAAATAGATCCATCAACAACAAGAGTAACCTGGAGAACTCCAATGGTAGTGGTACGTAAAACTTCAGGTGAACTACGATTATGTGGAGATTTCAAAGTAACATTAAATAAATTTCTACTAAAAGACTATCAGATTCTACCAACGTTTGAAGAATTAATAGCAAAAATAGCGAATGGAAATAAATATACAACATTAGATCTCAAAGATGCATACCTACAAATGAGCATTGACGATGAATCGCAAGAATTATTAACAATGGTAACACCAAATGGATACTACCGCTATTTACGATTACCATTTGGTATAGCTACAGCACCAATAATATTTCAACAATATATGGACGATTTACTGGCTGATTGTAAAGTACAGCAGTTAATTTAGATGATGTTATAATCAGAGGAAAAAATGATACTGAACATATCGAGAATATAAAACAAGTCCTTAAAAAATTACAAAATGCGAGATTAAAAGTCAAAACAAGCAAAATAAATTTTATGAAAGAAAAAATATCATATTTAGGATACATAATAGATCAAAATGGAATACACCCTGATATAAATAAAATAATAGCAACAAAAATATCCAACGCCAAAAGATAGACATGACATAAAATCATTTTTAGGTGTATTAAACTATTATACACGGTTCATAACAAACTTACACGGAATCATAGCCGAATTACATAATAAAACTAGTAAAAATGTTAAATGGAATTGGACTAAAAAAGATGATGCATTATTTTAAAAGCAAAAGGAATAGTTAACTGTAACAGAACAAAATACTATACAGTTTTATAAACAGGACCTCAGTTAATATTAGAAGCAGATGCATCTAACCAAGGATTTGGAGCTGTATTCATGTAAAAATATGATAATGATAACGAATTCTCAAAGAACTAAAGAATTATTCAACAATCGACAAAGAGGCCAAAGCCATAATAAACGGCGTAGAAAAATTTCATAACTATTTGTATGAACGAAAATTTAAAATACGAACGGACCACAAACCTTTAAAAAAATATATGATAACAGAGATTTAAGCTCATTAACAAACCAAATATAATTACGTTGGGCTTATAAATTATCTGCATATGATTATGAATAATGTAAAAGAATGGCGCTAATAATATAATTGCAGATGCTTTATCGCGAAACCCAATAGAGAAAAATATTGATAAAATAACAAGCGAAAATAAAACAGTGAAATATATAAGAAATCTTACTTATGACACATTAACTCTATCAAAAAAAGAACTTAGAAATGAAACCGCGAAAGATCCAATTTTAAGAAGAGTTAAAATATTAATAAATGGTACAAATATACAAAATCAAGCACCAGAATTACAAGCTTTTAGAACAAGAATAGATGAAATAGAAAATGATGACGGTATTTTATTTTGGAATGGTAGATTAATCATTCCGTACTCACTACAAAAAAGAGTTTCACATATTGCATAAGGGACATCCAAGTATTACATCAATGAAATCCATTACGAGACATTATATATGGCGAGAACAATTAGATAAAGATGTCGAAAAACTAATAAACAGCTATAGTGGATGTCAAAACAAAGCAGAGATATACCAGAAGTTGCCATATACCAAGGGAATCCACCATCACAATCCTGGAAAAGGGAAGAAGAAAAAGAGAAAAAACGTAAACATCCTGACCAACTACAAATAAAGGAAGAACCAGTTGAAAAATCAATAAAAACAAATGACATTATAAAGTTAGGAGATGATAAAACAGTAGAAATTAATAGATGAACTTGAACTTGTAAATAAAAAGATTGGTAGACGATCTTAACTTGGTGGGAAAGAAGATATGTTATATTTTAATATCTTATATATTTTAAAGGTTACGTTATTTGAATATTATATTATTATAACTTTCCTACATTTAATATTATATTATGTAGGGCAATATAATTGCATAATATTAGAAGTTAAATTACATAATTATAAAACACTATATATAGAAAAGAATTTAAAAAAAGATATCGATTGTTTTTGACTATAAAAATAATCTTCTTTGCTTAGATTAACCCTAGCCTAATCAGACCTTGCCATGAACCGCGTAACAATACATTTAGCCAACATCTAAATATTTCCCCAGTACTCCATATATCCGCGTCGAATTGATGTGATACCATATAAGGTAGCTACGTGAATATCACAAAATTTTGCCCAAACTTTTGAACTATTAATATATATATTTTAATATTTTTCTAATTAATTTTAAAAAATTATGGTGAAATTGTAAATTCACATTACACACACACTCTATACATGCTGGTATATTATTCCTTGTAAAATCAGGTCTTTTACAATTAAAAGCGGGAGCTGTAAATTGAGTTTTCAAGATTTGATAAAAACACGGGTCTCTATAAAGCAAAGCCCCAAATTTCTAAACCCTTACAATATATATATATAGAAGAATAATTTATATGATTATTATGCCCATTTTAATTAGCTATAAAAAGAGGGAATCGAAATTTAAAATGATATAGTGAAATATTTTTAAAAGTAAGATGATAGCTAGATGAACCTTAATTTTCTGATGTTCAAGCTTTAGGTTAATAAAATCTGTTTCGGCTTTAATTATATTTGTTTGTACTTCAGTAATCGATATTTTATAATTTTCGATATATTTGTCGTTTTCCATGATAGCCACCTTTAATTTCTCGTATTCCTTAAATATAAATTTATTAATAACACTAATTTAATTTCCAAAAAAACTTCAAGGCATTTCAATAATAATCTGATCTAAAATTTCTAGAGAACATATAAATGAGAAATGGCAATAAATTCCTTATAAACCCAATATCTATTAGTGATCTGCATCGGGCCTAATTCATTCGGCCCGAAAATATTTAAATATAGAAATTAATTTTTATAATTACTCAAAATCAGATATATGTTATATGGCGTCTAGTTTTTATAAATAAAATCAACTATTTTTATATTACAGAAAATTTCAACATAAAATTGATAAATTTAGATATATTTAAAAAATTTCCAAGGAACGACCGGATCCTGCCCGAACACAATTTTTCGAACCTAGCCTACTTTTGCAGATCTCTATATCTATAATGGTTTAAGAAAATCTATTTAGGCTATTAAGGCAACAATAATAGAATAGTTTTAAACCATGTTAGAATCCTTGAGTTGATTTTGAAGGTCATCGAGATGAGTCTTAGATTTTTCAACTTGCAATTTGGCCAATTTGATTTGATTTTCTTGAAAACTATCAACATCGCTTAGCTTAAGTTTTATATCAGCTATATTAGATTCTGTCTCCGATATTTGACAAATCACAGCTTTTAATTTTAGGCCCTCATCGTCTAATTTGTTAAATTAATTATAGTATTATAAATATTTATATATTTTTAGACAATTAACTAGTGGCGTAACTAGATTTATTCCTTTTGTAGGGCCAATTATAAATGTAAAATTAAATTTTAGCAAAAAAATAGATAGTGTTAATGGCATTCATAATATTTTAAAAATTTTAAGGGCAATAAAATTAATCTATAAATATATAATGTAATAGTTGATATGACTGATTAATACTAACCTTTAAATTGTTTTTTTTATGTTTATATAAATTGATTTTTTTTATATATTAATATGAAAATTGTTATATAAGCCTGATTTTTTAGTTTGATAAAAAAATGTAAAATTTTAAAATATATTATATAAAAATTAAATTATTAATTTAAAATAAAATAAATAATCTCATAACAATCATTTATTTTAGAAAACTTTATGGTGGCAGTTCCTCTACATATTCGAGGAAATCGTAAATAAATAAATAAATATTAAACAGATTCCCAATAATAATGTTAATATAAATATTGAATTTTCAATATACTCAGGCAATGGCGATAATTTTTTGAGTAGATTCGAAGACATCTTCAAGGACACTCAGATTCGGACATTGAAAAAGCAGGTTCCTTTACGAGAAGACTACCAGATGAGGTATATATCAAATTAGACGAACTAAACAAAATTGGGCTATAATGACTTATAATATATTCTAAAATCCACAGACAATATGATTTTAGCTACTGGAACATAGACAACTAGATAAAAAAGTTCTGGAATGTAATATTTATATCATTCTAAAAACACGTAAGAAATGATTTATTTGAAAAAGTGAAGAATAATTAAAAAAATTTTAACGTTAAATCTCTAAATTATGAATAAACTTATTTGGGACAATAATAATAAAATAAAATCCATTGACAAGTTAGAAGATTATTTAAAATTTCATGGTAGTAAGAATACTCTAAGCTTAATAGGTTATTTACCAGATGAATTATATTTAGTCATGAAAGCAGTGTTTCCAAGAGAGTTAAATTCAAGTTATGATGAAACATTATATACATTAAAGTGTTTATGTAATTAAATCGGCTACAGAAATAAAAGAAAATTGTTCTAATAAAAATTTTAGTAAGTCTAATAATGAGAATTATTATAAAAATAGAAAATTAGATAAAGAAACACATTATTATAAAAGAAAATATCATTATAATTGTAAATCTTTTCATATCAAAAAATTGAATTAAAACCCAATATTCAAAAGGAAAGAGATTCTTATAAACTAAAAGAAATAAATTATATAATAAAATTTGAAACATTTGTGATAATAGAAAATAAACTTTAAAGAAAATAAGGAAATAATCATTAAAGAAAATATTGAAATAAAAAAAACTCTTATAAGTAACACTAAATGCGATAAAAAAAATCGAGACTTATAAATTTGAAGACAATTAAAAGTAATATTCCGAAATCCTATTTAATAATGATAATTTTACAAATGGTGATAACAATTTTGTAAAATTGACAATGATAACGACGGAGCTTAACGACGAGCCAGCGTACTCAGAACAATATAAACAAATCAACGTGATAGAATCAAGCCAAGGATTACAATGACTTATGAACGGCTTGAACAATCATATGAACAACCAAAATAAATATCATTTTCCAAGACTATGTATGACAGACTGCACGATAAGATTCACATGCAATAAAAACCTGAGTGGAGAACATTATTTTTTAAAGGGTGAAATTTTGATATGAACCCTTAATACTAACCTTTAGATTGTTTTTTTTTATGTTTATATAAATTGATTTTTTTTATATAAATTGTGTAGATTAATTTTTTTTTATATATTAATATGAAAATTGTTATATAAGCCTGATTTTTTATTATGATAAAAAGATGTAAAATTTTAAAATATATTATATAAAATTAAATTATTAATTTAAAATAAAATAAATAATCTCGTAACATTTATTTTAGAAAACTTTAGTAATCAATATAACTAATAGTATAAATAAAATGATAAAAAATGGTATCACATATAATTTTAATAGTAAAGTAATTTTGATAAATGATTACAGAATATTGTACATGGAAAGTTGTTCAAGGAAAATAAATAATCATATGTATAATACCAAATTGACCAAGTTTGGTGTATTTAATATTTTTATATAGGTTCAATATCCATACATTAAAATTTATTCAGTTTAAATCGATAACTTTGAAAGCATCGAATCCAAAATTTTAGTAGTACTATTGGTTCTTGAAATATTAATTGTCAAAAGGGCCAAAAATGATCTTATTTTAAAAATACGATTTTAAAAAATTGAGATAAGTTAAAAAGATTGTTGTTAAAAATCTATTAAAAGTCTTTTAGTAAATATTAAAGGTTTGAATACAAATAAAGAATTATTCGATTGAATAAAATCAATAATTCGAATATTTAACGAATTAATATAATAATTCATTTATTCGTTCGTTGTATTCTAATCGAATTATTCGAATATTTTGATCGAATATTAGATATTCAAATTATTTTTATAATTTAGTATATATAGATATAAAGCAATCGAAAAATATATTTTTTAAAAAACTTCATTTTGTATTTAAGAAATTTTTATATTATTTTATAACTTCTGTTAAAAGAATAATTTAATATATTATATTAATACTTTTTATATTAAATAAAATTGATTAAATTTGCTTATTGTCTCTAATTAGTAACCACTTCTCAAAATATATATCATCTTTGTAATCGAGGAATATAGTTGTTAAATAATCTAAAGAAAAGAATAGTTTGAGGATACCTATGAGTTTTTTCGTATCCTCCATTTCTTGTTGTAGCAGATAAAAATGGTTGTTTTTAATTTTGAAATTCAACATATTCATATCTCGGCTCTTTAACTCTATAAGTCTATTGATTTCTTGATACCTATGTGTATAAACGTATAGGGAAAGAAAAATTTGGAATTGACGATTCAATAATTATTAAAACTTCGTTTATTCCAAATTATTCCTATATTTGTTACATTTTTCAAATTATTTATAAAAACTAGGCTAATAGATTTATGATATCAGATTAGTTAAAAATTCAGTCTTTAAATAGTTATAAAGATAAACTTCTAACTATTTTTTAATATATTATTATCTTAATTTAAGATATTTGATGTCAACGGTAAGAGAAAAATCTTTACATATCAATTCGGTGCAGAAATTTGGTGCAATGACAATTCATAGAGGATCTAATTAAGTTGCAATTTATTTTAAAATATTAATACAATTGGATTATTATTTGGAATTAATAAAATTAAAGGGCATGTTGATGGTAATTCGCAGAGCGTTGGTTTTATTCAGGGTTATGTATTCGACCGGTCAAATAAATTCGGTTTGATTGGTCAAATATGGTCAATTCAAATAAATGTTTTTTAAGAAAATATTAACTTTATTCTGAATATAATAGTAAAACGAATCTATAATATTAATTTTATAATAATATTTTTAAATCAATGTCATTCAATAACCAATGGTTAACTCTCCGTGGTAGAGTCTTGTTCTGATTCATATTCAGTATTATTATCTTCTTTAATATTTTTTAACTATTTATGTTGTCGAAATCTTCAATGGATTTCTGTTTTAGTAAGAATATTAACCCAAATCAACCGATGTAGTAAGGAATTGTTAGTAAAATGCCACTTAATGGGTATGGTGAGCAAGCCCATTCCACCAACTTGAGGTCAGAACTGATTGTTTTTTATGAAAGTTACTGCTTTCCATATAATTTGCTATTAAACACGCTGCTTTTACTTCTGAAATTTATGATATCACTTGAAATATTTTTATTCTCCTCATCTTATAAAATGACTAATTCTTGTATTATATCTAGTGTTGTTAAACGGCTAACTCAGTATTTTATCCAGAAGAATATTATTCAAGCCTGGAGATTTTGCTCATAGATGGCACAAAGTTCTAGATATCTATTATCGAAAACGAACCTAGGCAATATTTTTTGGCTAAAGCCGTTTTTAAAAATCGGATAAAGGTGAGCCGACAACACTAATTATATCACATGCAACATTAAATTCATTATTAGTAAGATGCTCTCATTTATATTAGGGACCCAATAAATAAGCAGCGTTGTGATCACACATATTTATATCGTTTTTTCTTAACTCAAACATTTTTTTTTCATCAGATTTTTTTCAAGTAATTGACCAGGTCAAATACTTTATCGTTCAATTGACCAATTTGCCAACTCTGGTTCTATTAATTATGACATATTTATATGATATTTTGATTAAAATGATATTTCATTAAATGTGATATATATTTTAATACTAATATCAAATAAAAATTTAATTTTATATGTATACCTGATTTATTTGGTATACCAGAGTTGGGCAGGTCCTCCGGAAATAAATCTAGATAAAGATTCTTTATAAAAAAATCAATCTTATATATAGATACAAGTATCTTATTTAAAATATCAAAAAGATACAAGATAAAAGATACTTGTATCTTTTCCTAAATTGGAATATCTTAAAAAAAAGATACTTTCAAATTATCATTACCAATTAAATTAGAATAGTTTATAAAATAGTTTTTATTATTTATTTGTGAAGATAACGATTTCCATCTGCAGTTTTGTCGAGGGTTCATCAGCATATGACTATTTATAATAATTATTAAAATATTTAATGATGAATTAATTATAATAATCAGGAGGGAGGGAGACTAGTATTTTTAATAGGAGTTGAAATATTAATTTGTAGAAGAGTATTTAAAATAGATTAATTATTTTATAAATCAAATTTTTCAAATGATTTATCATTAGACCTTTGCCGTTTCGGCGAACCTTGTAACAATAAATAACCTTTCAATTGGAGCTGAAAGGTATTGCAGTTTGTATTAAGAAAATATTGTAATATAATAATCGATGGTCTTATAAAATATGAAACATCAAAAATTAAAAGAATAAAATATATAATAATATTTCGATACCTTTTCTGTAAATTACTAGTCTTATAATAACATATCATCTTGTTACAAATCTAATGTTTTTAGCAAATAATATTTATTAATTTTAAAAAATAAAATCGCATTTTTTAATAATTTAAAAAATATTTAATTCATAAATAATATATAAATAAATATTATTTTTAATAGAGGTGGGCCCGGGCCGTGAAATTACGCGTGACCCAGCGTGTCATGGTGGGTCACGGCGTGAGTGTGAATAAATATTAAATTTAGGCGTGACGGGCCTTCCCAAAATTTTTCCCGGGCGTGAACATAAATTTCTCATGAATCAAGAAAATTTTAATTTTTAAAATTGTTTTTTTATAAATATAAATTTGCAATAATTATAATATATATTTTCTAATTTAATTTAGTTTTAACAATAATTTTTGAAAACAAAAAATCTTCTCCATTTTATAAACAACATCTGGTATCATGCCATTATTTCTATTTTCTTTTTATGTTTAGGTGTTTTATCGCGAGACTTTTTGCTAAATTTTGCTTAAATTTTTTACAGAAAAGTATATTTTATTTGTAAAGATCTTCGATCTGTAAATGCAACAGAAAGTGAAGGGTTTTTACAAGCTAGGCCAAGAGTTAATAAATGTTGGTGTTAAATATGGACAACAAAATATAAAAGATTTACTTGTGAACCGGAAAACTCTCATGAATACTAATAGCTCCAAAAATATACGATAAAATTAAAATTAAAAGTGCGATCAATAATAATTACTTGTTCCATAACCATGGATTCTTGGACGGATGACTATAAATCGAAGTTTTTAACCATTACAGGACATATTATCTTTAAGGATTTAGAATTGAAAACATTTATTTTGGCCACAAGGGAAATGAAAACAGGCGTCAATATTAAAAGTGTAGTCAATTCAATTTTAGAAGAATACACAGAAGTAGAAAATTATTAAAATAAATGTATAGTTGTGTGACTGCTAGCGGAGCAAATCTATAAGTGCATTCAAAGATGACGAAACGTTAGCATATATGTGCCATATATTAAATATGCATTATATTAAGACAATTGTTTAACTAAAATAGCCTTAAATATAAATGGGGTAAAAAAAATAGTACGATATTTCAAATAATCTACAGCTTGCAAAGCAAATTAAAGCATACCCTTAAACAAGATGTAATAACTAGAAGGAACTATGCATATATCATGATACAGAGTTTCTTAAAATCATATTCTGAAATGCAAGTGTCGTTTAGCAAGCAAGAATTAAATAGCCACAATTAATATTATCATCCTACGTGAGTTAGATAAATTTTTATCAATATTTTAAGAATGTTCAGATAATCTGAGTGCAGATTCTCGTCCCCAATAAATGAAGTTAATCTATGGAAACAAAAATTAGTAAAATTTTGTTAACCTTCTGAACGTGATACAATAATAATCAAAACCTTAAAAAACAGAACAATATTTCTTTTAAAAGAAAGATTTATTATGCAGCAACTACATAAGGTAGGCTTATTTCTGGATCCGAATTTCAGAGGTCTTGTTTAGAAAAGGATGATATATATATCAAAGACCTGCAAAGGTACCATTTGTATGGACCAGCCTGGCCCGGATTTTTTTAAAATATATTTTATTTATTTTTTACAACTAATAATGGCGATTTCAAATATTTGGTTTTAAAATATACAACCCGGCCAGGATATTTTTTTTAAAAAATTTTCAGGCCTGGCCCGGGTAAATTTATAAAAATTAAAATTTGAGGAATATTCATTTCCTTTTTTGAGAAAATTAGCGAGTAAAATTTTGTCAGTCAAGGTAAGTTCGGCTTCTAGTGAAAGGTTATTTTCTGTAGCCAATCTCTTATTAGTGGAAAGGCGGAAAAATTAAAATAGATGGACATTCTTCTTTTCCTAAATAAAAATTTCGATTTATAGATTGTATTTATTTTTTCTTATTAAAATGGATTATGAAATTAGAGAAATAAATAGAATAAATCAGGGATCCAAACCGAACAGTTAAACTGCTAAAACCCGGTATTTTTTATCAAACCTGAACCGAACCTAAACCGCTAAAAAAATTCAAACCGAACCTGAACCAAACTGCTAAAATGCCTCTGAACCTGTTCGAGTGTCATGATTTTATGTTTATAAAATAATATGTAAGTTATTAGATTTCAATTTTATTCGATTATTTTATAGATTATCATCAATCACATTTGATTGATAAGTGTCGGTCATAATTTTTATAGACTTTAGTATATTGTCATTTTATAACATTTTCTAAATATTTTAAGCTTATAAACATATTGGCAGTGCCGGCTACCCAAGTTAGTGTGGAAAGATGTTTCAACAATTAAATTTATGCTATCTCATTATAGATGTAATTTGAGTGAGCCGATTGAAAATATATTAATTGTGCGGCTTAATAAAAAAAATTTAAGTAAAAAAAGGAAAATATTGTTCATGTTAAAATTAATCATTGATATATATTTTTATTTTTATATTTATAAATTAAATATTATTTTATAATGTGCAATTAATAAAAATGAAAGCTTTATATATGTGTTTTTTAAATTAATGATAAAATAAAAAAAATATTTTCCCTATACAAAATTCTAATGCCGGTTTTTAGAAGTTCGAACCCAAGGATATTTTAATTTTTTACGAACCGAACCTGAACCTCAAAGCGTTATTTTTATCAGAACCTGAACCCGAACCGATATTCGTTTCGGTTTGGATCCTTGGAATAAATTCAAAAAAGTGTAAAATTATAGTAATAGTTTTGAAAAATTTAAAAGCAGTGAATTTTCGGGCGTGAATCAAAATATTGTCTTTCGTGAGTGGGCAAGTCGGGTCGAAAATTTTTTAATGATAAGGATGAATGGGTGTGAATTTTTTTATTTCCACCATGAGTGGGTGGGTTGTGAATAAAATATTAGACCCAGGCCAACCTCTATTTGTCGTTAGCTAATTTGCCACTGGGCAGAATTATCCCACCGATTTGTGGTTGCATCAAGTTTTCTGCCCCGAATTGACGTGATTAGAAAATAATAAACGTTTGTCGTTCAATTTTTCTTGATTTTCTACTTTCCAATTTATGGCAATTTTTAAAAAAAAATTAATTTATCATTTAATAATTAAATACAATGCATAAAGATTTAGGACTTATTTTGGTTTTCTTTGATTTTATCAAATTGCGATGCCAACCCATCTGTGTCCATGATCAAATCTGCCAACTTGTTTTTGAGCTCATTAATTTCGAGGCTTTTCGAGAGTGCTGAAAAACTAGATGGATTGTGGTAACCTGGTTTAAAAAAACTATATGAGTAATTACAAACATAATGACTAAAGCAATCACTAAGGTGATCAGGAGCCATTTGTCTCCAACTTCTAAAGAGGTAAGCTAGAGGGTTGTTGAAAATAAAAATAAACAATATTTGTAGATTGATATTTAAATAATTGTTATAAAATTCTAATTTATTAATAGATATTTATTTCGATTTTAGTGCTAAATTAAATTTTAAATCATTAATTATAGATAACATTCTAACAGTTTAATTTATATATATAACATAACTAATTTTTAGATTACAGTTAGTGACACATAATGTTTAATTCCTCCTGTCCTAAATTATGAGAAATAATTTTGATTTTGTTGGGTGGAGGTTATAAAGAATGGCTCAATTAATTTGGACATTTATAAAATAATAATATCCTAATCCTATGTATTTTTTTAATTAACAACATCGATTTACTATGGTATAGATTTTGGAGGGGATTTGCCTCTATCAATTTTTTTATTATGTTGATGTTAATCATTAATGTTCCTTAGCAATTTAAGCAAACTTTCTGGAGCTCAAAGGATTTGTAAAAAGGACAAAAAGTTGTTGAAATTTTTTATAGAATTCTAATTTAAAAAATTGGACATGTTTTGAACTACTTTTTATTGTCTCATCATAATTTTAACTAGTATTGACTGTTTTACAGTGGCATCAACTAAAAATCTTGTAAAAAGTTTCATTTATTTTGGCACACTCAATTTTTTTTGCTCAAAGAGAAAATATTTCAGGCATACTCAGAAATTTAGATGGCCTACGTTTTCACCCATTACTGGTAATAGAGCTAGTTTTTTTAATCAAAGATAGGTTATTTTTACAATCACTACTATTAATTATTTATATAACTTGTTAATAAATATAAAATTAGTGTTATTTTTTTATCAAAATTGTTTAAAAATTTTTTTGACTTTGGTTTGTGTTAATAATGAATAGTAACTTCAATATTTTCGACTGTAGCAGTAGAGTAAGCCATACTAAAAATCTGCAAAGCCTGGCTAACATGCCTGGCAAAAATATTTTCGGGATGGGCAAAAAAATTATATAAAAACAATTCTAGCTAATATTTTTAATAAATTACTTAAATTTATTTTCTCAATATTTATGTTCTTTCCATTCTCTCTTTTTTCTAATATTACCAGGGGCGTAGCCATGGAGTGCCAAAAACAAAGCATATATGGTAGTCATATTTACCTGATATTCGATCTGGCATCCATGACCAATAAAAAATTTTTAAACCTAAAATTAATTGATTATGGGCTTAAGGGCCCCATAAAGAAAAAATCTAAATGTATATATAATTATATAAAACTCATATTAAAATGTTTAACTTATTGTTTATTGGGAACAAATTCATATTTTACAGAAATATATGCAGTCCAGCATTTTTATATGATTTTGGGTTATATTATATATAGTATTGTACAATGTAACCTCCAGATACAGTCCCATATGGCTCCAGAATATCACCATCCAAAGTTACACATCGTAGTTTGATTTGGGGATGAAAAGCTATTTTTTTGGCTGTGTCGATATCCTTGCAAAAAAGTGTATTACCAAATACAAATTGCATGGCTAGTCTTATGTTTTCGTCTGTATATTTGATTATATCTATCATTGGTATCACGTTTTCTGAGCCTCCACCCTTTATTAAATGAAGTAAATAAATGTGGAAGTAATGTCGTTAAATGGCTAAACCGTGGTTATCTACAACTCGAGTCAATTTTAGTCAACGAATTAACTACTACTTGAGCCAATTCATCAACTCGCATGAGTTGGTTCATTTGCTTCGATTTTATTTGTGCTCAAATTAATTATGCATTTTCACTAAAATATTAGTTTAATTTACCCAATTAGGTTATTTGCTATTCGATTCCTGATCAAATTAACTTGGCCCAATTTGGCATGACCAATCTGATACTGTGGTCGAAAGATTTAAGAAAAAATAATTAAAAATATTTATTGGCTTAAGCATTTTTTTAATTATAACCTTCATTCAAAACCTGGCTAAGCCAGCTGACTTATCCGTTTAACAATTCTTATTCTACCCTTCTCTCTTAAATATTAGGATTAAAAATGAATTTAAATAAAAGCTTAAATTCAGAGTCACATGGCATTGAGGGGTCAAATTTTTTATAAAATAGTCAGCTAAATTTTTTAAAAATTATCGCTTTTAATGTTTTACAGTTTGTGTCCAATGATAAAAGAGAATTCATTTATCAAATAATATAAAATGATTTTGATTGAATAAGCAATATAAATGTATTTGTATTTTTTTAAATACAATTTGAGTCGCTAATTCGATGATGCTATTTTTGATATATTTGGGCGTTATTTTGTTGAGTGGAATGAAAGTGGTTCGATTAACTAATTTTCCATGCATCAAAATTTGCTTGGCAGTCTGTTCAGTGTCAACTACTACGTTATTAAGCTTCATTTTTATATGCCAAAAAAAGTAAAATACAATGAAATTGAATTTGATGTGTCAAAATATTATAAAAAATTGTGGGCCTCATACAAAATTATACTTTGACAGAGTTAGGTAGTAGTGAATACGTGTATTTAAAATTAAGTATTTGTATATAATTGACTAATTTAGAGTATTTAGTATTGTAAATACTAAAAATTAGAGCATCTTTTATCTATTATGATTTTAATCAAAATATAAATTATATTTTTAGATATTAATTGTGATCTGAGTTAGAGAAGAGAATCAAGATATTATTTATTTCATTCTATTTTATTAAAATGATTAACATTCATACTAATTAATGAAATAGAAAAAAATACTTTTTTTCTAGATTTTATAGAATAAATTCTAGTCCACTGATTTAGGATAATTCATGAAGTGTTGTTTAATAGCATGGCTGGTTTAAATTTTAAAAACGGCTAACTTAATATTTTAGCCTAAAAAATATTGTCTAAAACTCGAGATTTTACTAATTGATAAGGCTTGCGTAATATTTTTCTGGATAAAGGCCTTAACATTCCCTACATATCATTTAGCCAAATTAGACAGAAGTTGCTTCCAAATATCCTCCAAAATCAATCTAGATCTTAGTGTAAAATGGAATTCCCATATACCCAGTGTAGTTCAAATAAAAACCCTGTGGTTTTATTGCAAAAGTAATTCATAATTGAATAAATTATAGATAAACGGTATAAAGTTAATAATATTACCCTACCACCAGCCGCTACCTCTATAGCACGACAATATTTCTGATTGGTCAACGCATTTATAAGGTTTAGGATTTTCCCCTTAACCTTTTCGCTTGATTTCATGTTTGCGAAATCACTGAAATCGAATTTCAATTCAGGGTAATTGCCTTCTTTCAGGCCAATTTCATTTTGAATGTTCGCGATCAACTGATTCCTTGATTGTAGTTGAACCTTTAATAGTTTATCGGCATCCATTTCATCCGGGTTTATATGGTACGCATGACTTTTTAGCTCGTTCTTTGTAAAATTCAAGAAAAATTATTAAACTAATAAATCATATTAGAATGGCAAGTCTAAATATCAATTCTTAACTAATTACTAAACTGCTAATTTTAAAAAGCAACAGCAAAATAAATATGGAAATTGAATAAATGGTTCAAGTGATATGAATTAATAATGAAAATGTTGCATAAATTGCTAATAATTAGCAACTTCCTAACATGATTACTTGAAGAGTATCGAGAGTTTTCTCGATGGAATGCAACAATTTTATGTTATCTTTGAATTCTTTTTCTTGAACGGGAAGATCAATTTTTTCGTGTCTAGAGAAGTTGTTTGATTTTTCGAGTTCGCCCCTCAAATTGGATTGTGCATGAGTTAATTTCATCTGAATTTGTTCTTTTTCCGTTTGCAACTCTGCAAGCTTTGATTGTAATTCTAAAATACAATAATATTTTTGATTTAGTAGTAATTTATTTCAATGAAATTAATGACAAGTTAATATTGAGCCAGAATTAGCGTGATCATTCTGACACACCAAAAATTCAATGCAGTCAATTGGGTGCAGCCAATTTGCTCAGCGATAATTCGGCGCGGTTAATTTACCGCCCCCTAACAATATTTTATCACGCGACACTTTATCACGACAACACTTACTCAGTCATTTGATTGTAATGATCGATAAAGGGCTTACTAATTTGGCGTAACCATTAATGTATTATTATCATAATTTAGTAATGTGACCAACGAAGGACTAGAATACTCACTTAATTTTGATTTCATCTCTGAAATAGCTTTTCTGGCATTAGATTTGGAAATAGCACCTACATGAGTTGCTATATTTTATAAGGTTATTCAAATGTTTTTGAATAATATATTTGTCATAAAATAATATATTGTATTTATATTTAATATTATTTAAAAGGTCAGTGTAATTGAATACTTATAGAAGTTAAATTTAATAATTATAAAATAGTATATATAGTAAAATAAAGATACTAATTGTTTTGATTATAAAATTAGTGACGAGATAAAAAAAAATGCGGTCTTCAGTCAAGTTAAATATTAAATAGAATTGTATATATCTTTTTAGAAATTATGGGTGATATTTCAAAAATTACATTTAAATCAATTCCAAAAAGAAGATTGTTCTCTTGATGATTATGTAGATTATATAAAATATATATTGAATGTAAAGAATATTCCAAAATGACGCAACTTTGAAAAAATTATTCATAGCATATAGAGGAATAAATATAATAACCAAAATAAAAAAATTATTATTTCTAAGAAAAATTGATGATGTTGTATGGGCACATCTATACAAAGTTGCAAAACAACTTAAAGATGAAAGAACTGTTTAGTCGCGGACCAACAAATCCATATTGAGTTATTTAAAAACTAAAAAGGAACTAGCCCGTAGATGCTAATTTGAAGATAATATTGAACTAAGAATTCGTGATTAATTAATCGCAGGATTATTGATGTCATAACTAGATAAAGAACTACGTCTAAGATATCCAGATACTAGAGGCAAAGACTAACCGTTAAGAACAAGGTTATAGAAATAGCTTTAAATAAATGATATTAATAAAATGGTTTATAAAATCAAAGAGACGACCAAAAATAATGATAATAATAAACGATTAAATCTAAATGATAATAATCGACGATATAATGATAATGATAATAGGCACTATCAAAATGATAATAAAATATACGTAAAAAGAGAACCAGTTCAAAGTTATAACTACTAGACAAATAATATTATAAGAAAACCCTGATATTTTTGTAATAGTTTTCATGCTATTCGAAATTGTCCAGCATACGGAAAAGCGTTCAGCAAATGTAAGAAATTAAGCAACTTAAAGTTTATGGTACAAATTACAATAGTAACGATGACGATTTAGATTTCTCAATAAGAAAAGTCTACAAATATGGACAGCACTCAACAATTACTATATTAATAAACAACCCCGAAATTAAAATAGAATATGATCAAATTCAGCAGTAACCATCATTAATGCAACAATATGGAATAAAATTGGGAGGCCAAAAATTAGATGGTTAGAGTCCAACTACATATGGAAATAATACAATAAAAATTATGGGCGAAGCTTATGTAAAAGTTCAACTAGATGATAAGATAAAATGGATTTAGACCTAGATAAAAATAAAATAATAGCAATACAAAAAAATCCAACTCCAAAAGATAAACATGATATAAAATCCTTTTCAGTTATATTAAACTATCATACAACACGGTTCATACCAAACTTACATAAAATTATAGCCGAATTACATAAAAAAACTAGTAAAAATGTTAAATGGAATTAGACTAAAAAAGATGATACATTATTTGAAAGAGCAAAAGAAATATAGTTTTATAAACTGGACCTCGAGTTAATATTAGAAACAGATGCTTCTAACCAAGCCAAGAAAAATATGATAACTGAAACGAATTTTCAAGAAGCTAAAGCAATAACAGGCGTAGTATGGCAATAACAGAGATTAGATTATTACGTTGGGCCTACAAATTATCTGAAAAAACATTTTTATAAAAAAATGAAATTCCATTATAAATCAAATATAGCTGAAGACAATAAGTGGGCATAAAAGCCATATGATTACGATATTATGTACAATGGCGCTAATAATATAATATGCTTTATCGCCAAATCCAATAGAGAAAAATGATGATAGATTAACAAGCGAAAATACAGTAAATTATATAATAAATCTTACGTATGACACATTAACTCTATCTAGAAAAGAACTGAGAGAAGAAACTGCAAAAGATCCAATCTTAAAAAGAGTAAAAATATTAATAAATGGTACAAATATACAAAATCAAGCACCAGAATTACAAACTTTTATAACAAAAATAGATGAAATATGACGACGGTATTTTATTTTGGAATGGCAGATTAATCATTCCGTACTCACTACAAAAAAGAGATTTACATGTATTGCATAAGGGACATCCGGGTATTATATCAATGAAATCCATCATGAGACATTATAAGGTGGGAACAATTAGATAAAGATGTTGAAAAACACTGTATCAAAAACAACGCAGAGATATACCAGATTGCCATATATCAGTAGAATCCGCCATCACAACCCTGGAAAAGTGAAGAAGAAAAAGAAAAAATCGCGAAAACACGCCGACGAAATACGAACAAGAGAAGAACTAATTGAACCCGATACAATAAAAATAGATGACAATATAACGTTAAAAGAAGATAAAATAAAGCCAAGTCAAGAAAGAATTCAAAACCGTCGAAAGAGGGAATGAAAGCTAACAAAATGATTAATAGACTAACTTGAACTCGGTAAATAAAAAAGATTAGTAGACGAACTTGAACTTGGTGTATTTATATTTAATATTATATAGATGAATGTAATTGAATACTTATAGAAGTTAAATTAATTATAAAATAGTATATATAGATAAAAATTTTAAATAAAGATACCAATTGTTTTGACTATTAAAAGTATGATCAAGGCGACTTCTTATAATATCATTAAATTTTGTAGTTATAAATGAATTGCATTTTTGAGATTTATTTTTAGCGCACTTCCTGGATATTGATTTATTTCTATTTGTTCTAAATTTCGTATATTCATAATTTTGATATAAGAGGGTAGGTTTATTTTTTGATATAAGTCCAAATTCATAAAAATATATTCCTTAACATATAATAATATAGAAAATTGAGCTATATATAAAGAAAAAAATATTATTATGTTTATGGGTAAATTCAAAACCTTAATTTTTAAAAATTATAAATCTTTGTGAAAAAACGATTGACTTAAAAAATATCAAAATATAAATACATTATTTTCAAGAATTTTAAGAGATAAGAATTTTATTAGTTAATAATAAACATAACAAAAACACCACACTTAAATTTTGTTATTTATAATTAGGGCTGTGCCGATCCACATATTTTTCGCCGATGCGATCGATCCGATATGGTTCACCCGATAAGATATTTATATTGATTTTTCACCACCCCCACCCCCTTGAACCAAATGTAATTAAGAAATCAATATTTTTATGCAAAAAATCTAATTATGCATTTAATTTAATTTTTTTACTTCAATAATTAAAAAAATTTTACGGATATTGGTAGTATTAAATGAATTTTTCTTTATTCCACCCTATGAAATTAGTATTTCGTAGATAACGCATTTTGAAAAATTAACTTTGTCTTTTGAAAAATATTTCCATAATTCAGATACCATATTTTAAAAAATTCTTTTATTTAAAGTATAAATAATAAAATTGGCGTTATTATTTAAAAAGATTTAAAATACCTTGGGTGTTCCTTTCTATTTTATAAAAAAAAACTTTTAAAATACTATAAATCTATTTTAAAAAATAAATAAAATTTAAGGGGTGTTGTGTATTTGCATTGTTTAAAAAATAATTATTTAGAAAATATTACTAATGTAAAATAAATATATATAAAATAATAAAAAAAGATAAGATCGGTTTTTTACAGGCATCGGCTCGATCCTATATTTTTGAAAAAGGCTAAATATCGGTGCCGATCTGATATTTAATATCGGCACAGCCCTATTTATAATTTTTAAGTGTCGCATGATAAAGTGCCACAAGATAAAGTGACGCGTGATATAGTAACTGAGTGATAAAATGTCGTCATGATAGTCCTCATGATAGTGTCGCCGTGATAAAATGTCGACGTGACGCGTGATAAAGTGACTCCAAATTGACCACATAGGCAATTCTGATCAGTGATAGTTTGGCTAGTCAATATGGCGTGGATTAATAGCAGCAACAATTCGCCGAAATAAAAATGATAAAATAAAACTTAAAATGAGCAAAACAATATGACACTTAGGATGCCACGACAAATCTGCACAATTATTAAGCGTAATAAATAGATATATTTGGTGTCACGTCAATTAAATGCAGAAAATTTGATGTGATGAATTAAGAGGGGTATAATTCAGCGCGCAAAATAATCAAATTGCTGTTTTTTTTAAATATACAAGATTTATAAATAAAAAAAATAGCAATATCTATGGTAGGGTAATAAAATTTTATTTATTTACTAAAATAATCTTTATTATCTAAAAAATAAGCCTAGACCAATTCTCAACAAATTTCCAATAATATAGGAATAATAAGCACTAGACACAGTTTATAATTTAAGAAAATTTTCTTGAAATAGTTATCTTAACCTGATTGCATCTTATTTGATTATTTATAAAAAGAAATACATGATTTTTATAAATTATGTACTTCATAGGCGTTAATATAAAATTTATATTAAATGTTAGTTTTGTAATAACAACAAACGACCAATCTTTTTATAACATAATTAATATGGCAATGATAAAAAATATTTTAGACATCAACTAATAAATTACCTAAAGATAACTATTGTAAGGATTATTATGTAAAGAAATGCTATCTTAAAAATACAAAATATAAAATTTGAATTAATATTGTTATATAAATTTATGTTTTTTTTTTAATTTTAAGAAAACTCATAAAGGAAACCATTTAAAGGTTACGAGTAATTGATAAAAAGTGCTAATAAAAAGTTTATACACCTAAGTTATCGTGACAATGTTCTGGTAGAGCTAAGATATCATTAAAGGACATAATAATTACCATAAAACATATAGCTATGTGTAAATGTAATAAAATAAATATTAAATATATTTTAACATAGTTTTTCACAAATTAAAAATTTTGTTTATAATCTAGGTTCATCCAATGCTTTTCCATATAACAAGATTCTGTGATTTTGCCTATTAACTCAATAAATTAAAAATTTTATAAATTCTCAAATTAAGAATTTTGTTTACTGCAAATTCTCAAACTACACAAATCTAGATTCCTTTCTTGACATAGCAGAAGCTTTATTAGACTTAAATTCAAATATTCATGGTAAAAATAAATAGAGGCTAGTTTTGTCAAAAGCCAAAAGGGGAAAATGTTACTTTTCTTTCAAAACTATCCCTATAGATTTTACTCCCAAAATGGGGATATTGCAAAATATCGCTATAGAGTAGCATATTGTTATGCCAAATGTATATATGAGGTGTATACATAGCCTCTGGTAAACATGATCATCTATTTGAAACTGGGACATTCGAGATGCTTAAAACTAAAGAAGCACTCGAAAACATAATAGCTCACAATCCTCTTGAGATACGGTTAAATATTTATCAACAAACTATGGAAAAGATGTCTGGAGGACCCAGAAATAGAAAACTATCCTGAGGCCATACCAACATTTATATTCTTTAGGAGTCACATAGACAGACTCCTTATAAAATACCGGCCCCTATGCCTCAATCGATATAGAGTTATCAGCAAGTATTCTACAACTTGCTAAAATATATTTTTAAAAAATCCGGACTGGGCCTGATAATTTTTTATAAAAAAAATCCGGGCTAGGCAAGACCGAAAAAAATCCTAGCCAGGACGTACAAAGTAGAGATCTGCAAAGTTAGGTCAGGCTCATATCCGGCCTGAACGGGCTTCGGGCCTAATTCTATTTAAAATAATCGGGTTTGGGCCGGGCCTAATATTTAAAAAAAATTAAGGCCGGGTCGGGTTCGACTTTGGAAATTTTTTTAAAATATATCTAAATTTATAAATTTTATATTATTGAATTTTTTATGTAAAATATATTATTTTATTTTATTTATTGAAACTAAGCGACATATAACATATGTCTTTATTTTAAGTAATTATAAAAATTAATTTCTATATTTAAATAAATTCATGCCGTCGATAAATTTTTTTAAAAAAAATTTCAGGCCGAGCTCGAAAAATTAAGCCCAATGCAGATCACTAGTATAAATGGTACCTCTGCAGTCTCTGATTAAAACTAACAATAGATTTCTACATTTTAATTATATTACAGTTTTATCTTAAAATAATAAATTTATAAATGTTGAATTTTTATATATACATAGACCTGTGCACCGGCTGGCCATACACCGAAAACGCTGCCGTTTAGAAAAATCTCGCTGGCACGCCACTGATTTTCATATCGGCGGCGAACGGCCGGTGTAAAAATTACTTCCATATTTTATACCTTTTTATTCTAATAATTGGTCAACATCACTATTGTAATTTTTTTAATGTCAATCAGGATTTTGATGAATTTTTATTTTCTACTATTTTAAAATCATAATTATATTGACGTCATTATAGATTCAATCAATCAAAAATTCCAAAAGTTACCATAATTTTACATATTTTTAAAATGGATGCATCTACATTTAATAATTCTATAAATAATTTTAATATCTGGAAAATAAAAAATCCATAGTCTAGAAATTTTTTGGATACTTACACTTAGTGTTGTTAAACGGCTCGTTTTGAGCCGATTTTTAAAAACGGCTAACTCAATATTTTAGCTAGAAAAATATTGCCTAAGTCTCGAGATTTTGCTAATAGATGTCTAAACCTTTGTTCCTTCTACAAACAAAATATTCAGGCTTGCGTAATAGTATTCTGGATAAAATATTGAGTTAGCCGTTTTTAAAATTCGGCTCAAAACGAGCCATTTAACAACACTACTTACACTTAAAAAGAGATAACAAAACAATTTCCATAAATTTTCACAAATTTTACTGCAATTGTTGCTTAGAAATGGCTATTGGAGATGATGATGATTCAAATAAGCCATTTCCACAGTATATTTTTTTAAATATTATTTTCTCATATATATCCAAAATCTTTACTAAATTAAAATATATTTTTTGTAAAATATAACCTCACTTTAAAATTCAAAACTTTTCAACAAATATTAGCACAAGAAATTTGTTAAAACACTTGACTTCTGAACATAATATTAAAGCAGATACTTCATCAAAATCGCAAGATTTAAAAAAATATTTTATATTCAAAAACAAAATTCCAGACAAATTCTAAAACCTCTAAAAAATGGCTTTTAGCAAGAAATTATGTGTTACTATGTTGTGCTGGCTTATTACCTTTTCAATCAATGGATAATATAGGAATGAAAGATTTTTTGAAGGTATCAAATTTATAGGTTAATTAGAACAAGAATGCCGCAACGATATTCACAAGATGTGGACGTTCTAAAATTTTGGAGAGAAAAGAAGAGTGAACTTCCCAATCTTTCCAAGCTCGCCAAAAAAATTCTTTGCATTCCGGCTAGCAGCACACCTAGTGAAAGAGTTTTCTCTACCACTGGATAGATGTTTAATTCAAGGATATCATCATTATGTCCCGAAAATTTAAATAATATAATTTTTATACTTGATAATTATAAAATTACGAAATCGATTTTGGATTTATAATGAGTTTTCTATTAAATAAATATTAAAAATTATGCCGAGATAACTGTAGAGTAGTGTTATTTGTTTTTTTTAAAAAAATTATTAAGCAATTAAAAAAATTTATGTTATAAAAATTTATAACTGCGCCGATTTTGTTGACGGCAGCTAAAAATCGGCTCGCCGCCGGCCGTCGATTAGATTTTTGAAAATTGCGCCGGCCGCCGATAGTTTCATCGGCGCACAGGTCTAATTAAATAATACTTCACCAATAAATCAGATTAATATAGATTCTTGTGGAAATAGGCTTTCGTAGGCGGAGATATCATAATGCTCTCACCTTGCAAACTGTCAGGTCAACATTGACAGCCTGGGTCATCATCCTTTCCACTTTTAAAAGGGCGCCATAAATGTCACCAGGAAATAAATATAATTACCAATAGAGCTTTTCACTCTAATAATAGTCCATCGAGCTTAGAACCAGCAATTTAATTGTATATAAATAAAATAATTCAATATTAGATATTTATTCATTTTTAATAAGTCTATACTAGATGCCTCAGTAATTGTTTGACACAATCTAATATGTTTGATGATTTTTTATTATCTTCAAAAGATCTTTTGAGGTTGATATATAACTTTCGGTTCAATATTTTTCAGTTTTCTTTACAAATTTTACATAGTATTATTAGTCATTGACTTCAATAGGCTTGGTTACTATGTGTTAGTGTGTTCTGCTAGTATTTAGCAATATTAAAATGATTATTTATAAGTTTTTAATATTTGTTTTTATACATCTTTTACCTATAATTACTTATGGATTCAATATCTGCAAAATTAGAATTTATACTTAACTTATCTTATTTCTCATAATCAACATGTTTTATGTATTATCAGTAATTACGCTTGTTATTAATACAATAAAATTAGTGTAACTATATTTTTAGGAAAGTGTGAAATCTTAATAAGATTAGTTAAATACGATTCTTATGTAAAGCATATATAAATATTTTAAAAAAATGATGTATAAAACTTATGAATTGTTGGGTGAGTGTAGTTGATTCACCCCCCTCTTGGACTTCGAACATACCCGTGTTGCATGCTTGCAACCTTGTTTGTGCATTACTGCAATCAACTTGAGCATCTTTAAAATTTTGTTCCAATTTTTGAAGAGGTATTTCGTAATCGTTCATAATCTTTGCGTTTGTTTTCTTTTGTTTTTCCTCCTATAGATGATTACATACAATAAATATAATATCTATGATTTAAATGTATGTGTCAATAAGATATTTTGGGAATACACTATTGTTTTGTTAATGTTTGCAAATAAGATAAAATATAATAACTACAAATACTACCCTATGTTATTAATGCTCATTCACTCATATTTTTTCTCATGCCTAAATTTCTAAAATACAAAAAAAATATGTTAATATTAATTTTTTTATAACCAAATAGACAATATTCTTGGTTAAATACAAATGCAAAATTTAATAAATTATCTGTAAGAAAAAAAATTAGTTAAAAAATAGATTAAGTGAAATAGCAGACAATAATATAAAAAAAATTTAAAAATAAAAAAAATTGAAGGCAACCACATTTATTTGGTACAAGCAGCCATTTATAATGTTTAAAATAGTCACTAATCTATTCTAGATAATGCTGTAAAGTAACGGCGTTACCTTTTTTGAAGAAAAGGAACGCCATTCGTTACCTTCTTCTAGAGGAGTAACGATAACGCGTTTCTTTTTTTTAGTAACGGTAAACGTTACTCGTTAACTTTAAATTTTTTCTTAAAAAAAATTAAAAAAAGAAAAACATGTTTTATTGTACTATAAAATTACTTTTATTTAAATATGAATAATTTAAACCAAGTTTAACCCATATCAACAAACATTCCTTCATTTTTATTTTAAATTCTCGTTGTTAAATTTTTAGTCGAATGTTAACCTAATTAATATTCAATCATAAATCAAAGTAAATGTTAATAATAGTATTATTATTTTATTTTATAATTTATTTTAAGAATATTATGTCCATAATATACTTACTTTTTCAGATGAAGATGATTTAACCCCAATTTGAAACATATTTTAAACCAATAAAGAAAATTAAGGGTACAAAGTCTACACTTAAATGTAAATTGTGTCGCAAAGTAAATATTTCAAACTCAAATCATCTATTAATATTATTGATTAAAAATTATAACAAAAATATTTCCTAACCCAACCTCATTGAAAAAGATTTCCCAGCACGGCCCAACCCAAAATAAAAATTAAACACAATCTGGTTTTGCAGACATTTACTATATAAATTATGTCGAAATATGGTGCAGGCATAATGAGATTTTTTAAACTAAAAAAACTTATGCTTAAATTGCTAAACCTCCATAACTATATATTTAATCATATATATAATTAATAAGGTCTGTTAAAAAGTTTTTATATATAAATAAGAAGTTGGAACCTGAACGAAAAAAAAAGGTTAAAAGTGATTCTAGTTCCAGTGAATCAAATTTTGAAAAGTAGGTTCAGGTTCCTAAACTACATTTATAAAGGTTCCTGGTTTCAGATATTGTTAAAGCAATCAAAAAAAAATTAAAAAAATGTAAACAATAAATATACTCTCTAAAATACATCATGCAATATTTTAAACAAATAGGTTCTAGTTCCATTTCTTATCAATTTCAAAATAGGGTTCCAGGTTATGGTTCTTAGATTTGTCAAGATTCTCAGGGTTCTGGTTCCAAAGTCTGATATTAAATTTGGGGGGCCACCTCGCCAGTCAGTCCATGGGATCGGATATGAGTCATTATAGATTATTTAAGAAACTAAAACGCTCGTATATACAAAAGATAAGTAAAACTTTTTTATTAAAAATAAAAATTAATTAATTATAACAATTTATAAACCAAAAATTTGTTAATTTATAAACATAAAAATTAGTCTTTTTTATAGAGAAAATAAAAAGCGCAATTATAAATTAAAATATAATTGCAAAGTAAGAAAAAGAACTTTTTTTACGAGGAGTTGTGTTAGTTTTATCTTACATAATTGGGTATAAAACCTACCATTCCCTATACTTTTCGGAACTCAAATTATACCTCTGGATTCAGGGCGATCTCCGAGACCTAAATATCTAATTTATATTTACCGAACACCTTACTAAGGAATCCAAAAGTACGAAAAACCCCTGATTAAAAGAAAACATAAAAACCATATGTTTTATTTTTAATGTGATTAAATCAAACAAAAGAGAGACCTAAAATACTTTATTTAATTTTTATGTATTTCCCCTCAATATTTATTTACATAAATAGTTATTATTACGCTAATTATATTCATTGTTTATTTTCTATTGCTATACTGTAAATTTTATTTGTATACACAACTAATCCGAAATCATGGTTAGACCTCGTATTATTCAAGGAACTTTTGCAGGGAATAGACCCCCTCTTGATACCGCTAACCTACCGCTAGGACAGAACCCGAATCTGGACGGCATTAACCTCATTCTCACGCCGGACAATTCAATGGACGCTGTCCCCGTCGATCCCAGTACCCGTGCTATTATCCTAGCGATGAACGCCATTTCCGATCGCATGGCAGCACTTTCTACACAAGTAAACCAGGACCGACAGCGACAACGTACCCCGTCACCTATACCCCGAGGGAAAGAGCCCCACAAGTGATTGGTACACAGACTAGCGAGGCGCCGCCACCGCCATCTACACCAGGAGCACCGCCCACGTTGCCCTTGGTCCAGCTCGAACCGCCAGCGACATCCGCTGAGGCTTACGATAGACTCATGAAAGTTTGGGCTGGCTTGCAGCAAGATCTCCTAGAGCCCAGATGCAAGGCCAATGACAGAGATCGTCACGAGATCAAGCACATCGCCGAGGTGTTGGAGCTCCTGTCGCCGGAATCCGACATCAGAATGCTGAAAGTTCAAGCCAAAAGAATTCGAGTGTTAGCGCTAGCCATCCACTGGAACTGGAAGACCGCTAGAAACAACGATGCCTCGTATCAAGAAAAATTTTTATGAGGGGAAAACATCACCGTTTACCAGGACCCTTTGCCCTTTCGAGATAGGGGCCGAACAGGCCCCGCTACCTCCAGTTACCGTAAGCGCCCCGAAAGGAAGGACACGGCCCCCGCCAGGGGCAAGAAAAGGAAGTAGCGACTCCGTCGTACTCCCGATTCCCCTTCTATCATCTCCCTCCTCTTCTCTACCACTATCTCTTCTACCTCCTACTATCAACCCACCGGTACATCCAGGGGTTACCGGTCCGAGCAACGGCCCACCGGCTCGAAGGGCGGGAACATCGCAGCCCCCTAGCTGGCTAACTATAGTAAATAAATTTCTTAGGGAGCTGAGGCATCAGATGTTTTCGCCGACAGACACTGACAGGGACAGTGATGCATCGGATTCCGCAATAGACAGCAATCATACCCCTGCGTGCAACATCCCTGAAGTTAGCCCTCCGTCAGTATCGGATATTCCCTCATTCCTATCGGAGGACTCTGGAATACTCGAATGGTGGACACCTAGTCCCCTTTCTGACTCACTACCATCGAGTAGCTCGGCGGACAGCAGCGCAGCTCGGTCAATCATCTCGGAACTACAAGACTCCGTCTATAGCACCGACGATGAACCTGGTATGCCCCAGGGAGGCGCCTCAAGCACACCCAACATTCCCGGTATCCTCAATGGTATCGTTGTCGGGGGTCCTAGGAGTACCTTTTCAGACGAACAGCTAGCCGCTCGCCCTAGCCTCAATATCAGCAACGCAAGACTTACAGTGGGACCACTTATATCTCCCTTCACGGGAAGAGTTGCTGAGAGAGGATTTCGCCCGCGCATTGATCACCTCAAAATAAACAATAATAATAACATATACTTCAAACACAATACCCGCGCGGGCGTACACAATAAATACCATGACATCGTAAGACAACTCATTGTCGCCAATGTCATCGAGCCGGCTGACGAGGACCAAATCTGTTCCCCGCTTTTCGTGATTCCCAAAGGAAATGGAGCGCCCAGAGTCATCAGCGACTTTTCCGAAGTCTCTAAAAACTTTTTGCACTACCCCTTTCGTTTGAGATCAATCCCGCTCATGTCAGCCAAGCTCGAACAGGCATCGTACGCCTGCAAGATTGACATCAGATCCGCCTTCTTTTCCATCCCCCTAGCTAGCGGCGTAAGGAAATTTTTTGGATTCAAATTCAACGACAGTAACTACCGGTACAAGGTGCTACCCATGGGAGCATTCTTCAGCCCCTACTGCCTCCAATCCATCATCCTAGATGCATGCGCTAAAACCGTCAAGAAAGCCAATTACAACGTCTATCTGGACGACATTCTGATCTATGGACCCAACGAAAATGACGTTAAGTGGTCAACTCGATCGTTACGCTGCACCCTCGAAGGCTGGGGTTTGCAGAAAGCGCCAGAGAAATCAGTGTTGGATCCCACACCGCTAATCACCTACCTAGGTGTTCCCATTGACTTAACCAACAAAACTGTCTCCGCGGATACTGGTACGAGAAGAAGACTACTCAAGTGTCTAGAAGTCTTCCGGCGACACTCCTACCAGCACCTTGACATAGGGATCGAGCTTGCAGCCAGGGTCCTAGGGGTTGTCAACCACTACGCCTACACCATAACGGGTATGTCAAGACTATTTTCACCCTACTACGTCACTATGAATAGCGGACAACTAACCCCAGTAGTGGACACCTTCCTAGCGTTCACCAAAGCGCGCCTAATCATTGATGCGTTAGCGACACCTTTGCCCTTACATTATTATGCAAACTCACCCGTATACGTCGACGCATCTAATTCCCACATGGGTATTAACTTCTGGGAAACCGACAACCTCTCGGTAGCATACAGTGAAGCATGCCTCTTCTTCAACATTCCGATGCACGCAATATCCCATATCAATGGTAAGGAAATTTTAGCGGTCGGCATGGGAGCAATTATGGCAATACACCGTAACAATGAACACCCAATGATCTTCACGGACTCATCAGTGGCATACTATACCTTTAGAAAAGGAGGCTCGCGATCCCCATCACTAGAAATCATCATCACTCAGATTATGATAAAATTAGGATTGTCCAACTTCACTGCCATCTCCCAAAATATACAATGGATCCCCACTGAAGACAATCCAGCCGATCTACCATCAAGAACCTGGATGGCACCAAGGAGACACTTA